GTTTATGCCATATTTATATTAAAACAATGAGAACTGGGGAATAATATGATTATATCAATATAATAAATGCCCTACACAGTTTTCAATTACGTGTTATTTTTCCATAAGCGTAACCAACAGGGCCTCCTTGTCATGCGATGAACCAAAGAAAATTCAGACCCAAATAAATTTTTAAAAAATGAGATGTTAAATTATGTTCTTGACTTATTTGAGTTGACTCCTAAAGACACAAATTCCTCTTCAACATGTTGGGTTGAGCCACGTCATCTCATGTGACAGAGTTTTGAACTTTGAAAACCCTCACATCAATTTTAACGAATTTTATACATAACAGATGATAGATTGGATGTATTTTGCTGATAAAATCTTCAAAAAGGCACTTTTAAACAACTTCTACTACTAAAATTTATCGAATAACTATATACACCGTTACATTTTAGTTATGTACATATAGCAATGTATTCTACAAGATGCGGAAGATGAAAAATTATGTTTTAAGAGAAATAAAGGGAGGTCAAAAAACTTAATTTAGAGAAATTCTTATCGAGAAATAATTTAATTTTTTCAAAGGACATGTATATCAACTAATAATGTTTACATGTCATTGTCATTTCTATTTACATGCACATCAAGTTGCAAATTTCTAAGATGCCGTTGGAAGATGTCGAAGCCGACAAAATTTGAAGACTTTACAAACCCTGACTCAGAAGTTCATAAATTGATACTTACGTGCCTCAATATATTTACAATCTTTGATTTTAAATTTTAAAGTTAGTTATTTGTAATAAATATTTATAATAAATATCAGTTAATTTTTTTAACATATTCTTTTTAATTATGCTTACTTGTGTTTGGCTCAACGGAGGGAAAGAGAAGAGAGGAAGGGGAGGGTAGCTAGAAAAGGGAGGGGAGAGGAGGGAGAAGGAAGGGAGGGAAGAAATTTTAATGATCTCCTATTTGGATTGATTGGAGGGAAGGGGAGGGAGTAATTTTAATGATATCTTATTTTGTTTTAATAAAAAATTGACTATTTTAATCTCATAAAATTTAAATGAATTTTCTCACTTTTTTATTTTATTAAGATATAACTATATATATAATGCAACTCATCAATTTTAACTTACAAGAAACAGTCATACACTAATTATAGGATATCAAGATAAAAAGTGAGGAGTGATAAATTTCAATTAAAAAAGAAGACTTTGAAGGTGAAAGAAAATACTGACGGCCTCTTGGAATTAGAAGAAGAGGGGGAAAAAATGTTCACAAATGCTCACTAATTTTGGAGATAATTATCTCAACAACCTCTTGCTAGATGTTCAAGAAAACTCTCTTATGTAGAAATATTTATGACTGATTAGGGGTTAACAAATCGAAAGGGTATTTTAGGAATTAAAATATTATATCTCATCTCCCCTCCAAAAAACCTCACTTTTGAAGGGGAGGCTAGAAGGGAAGAGGAGGGGAGAAGAACCCCTTCCTTCTTTAAAAAATATCTTAACCAAATAAGGGGAGGGGAGCAACTCCCCTCTCTTTCTAAAAAATTGCACTAGCCAAATAAGGGGAGGAGAACTTCCCTCCCCTCTCCTTCAAAAACCCCATACCAAACATAGTGTTAGAGGGAAACATCCTTAATAAATGTAATCAATATGGGATATCTTGGAGAATAAATTATAAATTTGAAAGACAACACTACCAATAAACATCTAATTAGCAACGGAATTTTTATTTAGCGACGAAATTAGTGACGGATTAGCGACGGAATCAAATTACCGACAAAATTAGAGACGGAATCGGTTCCATTGCTAATTTTTTCCGTCTCTAATTACCGACGGAATTCCCAAGTGCATCGCTAATTACTGACGAATAGGAATTCCGTCGGTAATATATTTTTTAAAAAAAAATAAAATGCCACCTCACCGTGGCCGCCACATATCACTACCTCATCTCCACGTGTCTCTACCACCTCACCTCCTCTGCCGCATGTCAGTGCCACCTCACCTCCTCCGCCGCATGTCAGTGCCACCTCATCTCCACATGCCGCTGCCACCTCAGTTATGCCGCCACATGTCACAACCTCATCTCCATGTGTCCCCGCCACTTCACCTCTGCCACCACGTGTTGCTATCTCATATGCCACTTTGTATTGCCACATGTCGCTACCATATAATTCCTCTTTAAAGTGACTTCTCCATGGCTCGGACCAAAGACCTCGCTTGTGCACCGTGCGACTTTACCAGTTGAGCCGCAATGAACCTACTGACTTATTATGCAAAATTAAATATATATATATATATATAATGTTTTCTTACACAAATAATTATTTATACACATATATATTATTAGAAAGTAAAAATAAACTAGATGATAATTTTAATCATAACTATTTTTGTAACAAAATAATTTTTAGATATTTGTTTTACTATTTATTTTATAATGCTTTATTTTTTAAAAAAATTATTTTAAATATAATATTAATTTCCAATGACACTAATTTTGAATTTAATATTAAATACAATTTTTCATAAATATATTTTTTAAATTTAATTCTTGTATTTAATATTTATACGATATATAATTTAATTATATATTTATTACTATATTATATTATATTAAATATTATATTTTAGTCACGGAATTAGCCACAGGAAAGTATTCTGTCACAAATCGTAATTATCTAATTCTGAACGGTAATAGATACTGGGGCTTTGCAATATTTGATTGATTACAATTCTGTATATTCCATTTATTATAGAAGTTCCCAAGGAATTCATTAGAGGAATGTTTCCAATGAAAATCGTTTGTTCTTGGATATCCCTACAGGTTTTCCAAATTAATCCCGCAGATACATATAATTCAGAGGAATATGTGAGTGATTCATATATAACATCTTTTTCTTTTATCAAGGGTTCTACCAATTGATATGTTTCCATAAATAATTGAAATTCAATTTCTTGATCAAGGGTTCTAGCCGTCAGTAGGAATGGTTTGTGGATTTCGAACAGCTATAATGGCTGAGACTAATAAAATAGCAATTACAACCCAAGAAGTAATAAGTATTTGGGCATGGACTTGGAAACACCCTATTTGCCAATAGAAATGTTGGCCTATTTCCATAGTCGATATATCGTATAATCTTTTTAATGTGTTGATGGAACATAATAGAACATTCATATTGCCCTCTGAAAGAAATACAGCTTTAAAAGGAATTATTTTGATTCAACCATCTCTTTTTCGGCTTGAAGAAAGAACAAGATGTTTCTTTTGTTCTTTCCAGGTGATCAGAAAATAAAGAAATAGTTAATATATTCAAGATGATTATGTACTTACAAAATACCTTCTCAATTCATCCTATTTCATCAGATCCGGGGTGTGATATGGTTCCAAAGGATGAACTGGACAGTTCCAATAAGATTTCATTCTTGAACAAAAATCCATTTTTTGATTTATTTCATCTATTCCATGACCAAAACAGGGGGGATACACGTTACACCACGATTTTGATATTGACATGTAGAACGGGACTCTATCTTTATTCTCGTCTGATTAATCTATTCTTCAAAAGATCTATCAGACTATCATGGAGTGAATGATTTGATCAATTCATATTCGATTCTTTCTTCAACTTGGAATCGATTCACATCTTTTATTTGTCATATAAATATTAAAAAACAGAGATTTTGGGTCTGTCTGGTCTAATCAATTGAAATAGTATTTCAGTATGTATACGTATACTCATCCTTGATCCTTCGATAGCGAGAATTAATTATTGGTGACAGACAAACAGGTAAAACAGCAATAGCCACGGATACCATTCTCAATCAACAAGGACAAAATGTAATATGTGTTTATGTAGCTATTGGTCAAAAAGCCTCTTCTGTAGCTAATTTAAATTATAAAATTTTAGTCACTGAATTAGCCACAAAATTTTCCAAGGGAAAAAAATTCCGTGGTTAATTAGCGATGGATTGAATTCCATGGCTAAGTTTACTGACGGAATTTTCGTGGATAATCTGTCAGAAATTAGCGACAAAAATTATTCTGTCATTAACTCTGTTAGTAATTAGCTGGTTTTTTTGTAGTGCAAAATAAATTAAAATTTTATATTTATGAACAAATTCACCCCACTAACTTATATATTAAAGAGCGAAAATATATTAAATTATGCAAATAATGTATCTAATTTGTTTAAAAATCAATAAGGAATTTTAAAATTTATAAATTTGGATAGAAAACACACTTGCTTTTCATTAATACGTTACTTCACAACCATTGCAATATCATCTTTCATCCAGCACAAACTTTATAAATTTTACTCTTTTTTCTTCTGTGTTGTCATCTCTGAATTCGAGTTATAAAGCTAATATTTTGACTACATAAATTTTTTTTTAAAGTTTTCTTAAGAAATAAATGGATATTAAATTGGGGGGATTAAAACAATTTTTTTTCCTGTTAATTGAATGACGCGCTAAAAGTTTTGGAAATGAGAAAATGGGTCCTCCATGGTGGAAGCGTCCAGCACGCTATGGTTACAGTGAATGCAAGACTTTTCTCCTCCCCTTAAACATACCTTACAATATATTATCTCCCGGTTCTTAATATAAAAATTATATAATAGATTCTTTTTAGTTTTAAATATAAAATATTAACTTATTTTGTCTCCAAAATTCATAATTTTCACCTCATAGTAATCCCTATTATATTATAACTGTACATGTTAAAAGGTTTCTATTAAATAGTACTCCTTCGGTGCTAAATATAAGACCCTTTTTATAGTGTAATTTACACTATGAAAGGGATCTTATATTTAGAACAGGAGGAGTAGTACTTATTTATTATAAATAACTAACTTAGTTAATTTTTGTAATATTCACATATCAGTTATATCTAATTTTTATATTAAGAATGGAGGGTATAATATATACATCCGCGCATGCATGCATTCATAAATACATAGATACATACATAGAGATGCACACACACACACGGAACGAAGGAATCACACACACGATTAAGTGGGAACAGTGTGAAGGAGATCGAAGGAGAAGATGAAGATGGGACTTGGCATTTCAAGGCTCTCAAGTCTTGTTCCAATCCTGTTCTCCATTGTTGTAATGGGCTGCTGCTTGATTGCTGCTGAAGGTGGTGATGACTGCCAAGAGAGTGGCAAGTTGCCAGGGAAGAACCCCCCACCTGGGAAATGCAAAGAAGACGACAACTCAAAGTGCTGTGCAGAAGGCGAGAGCTATTCCATCTTCCAGTGTTCGCCGCCGGTGACTGAGCAGACAAAGGCCATCCTAACTCTGAACAGCTTTCAGGAAGGCGGAGACGGCGGAGGGCCATCAAAGTGCGACAACATGTATCACTCCGACGACGAAGCGGTGGTGGCACTTTCAACAGGATGGTTCGGGTCCGACGACAATAATAGGTGCCACAACAGCATCATTATCTCCAGCAACGGAAAGGAGGTGAAGGCGACGGTGGTGGATGAGTGTGACTCCACACAAGGCTGTGATGAAGAGCACGATTTCCAGCGTCCATGCCGTTATAATGTCGTCGATGCTTCCAAAGCAGTTTGGAAGGCTTTGGCTGTGGACGAAAACGGCAAGGACGAGCCTGAAATTGAATGGTCCGAAGCATAGAGAATATATATATATATATATATATAGTCACGAGAAGTGATATGTATTTCTACAATAATCTATCTCTATGCACTGGGGGCTGGTTTCCAGTGTGATAGTGAGTATTTGGCCGCATGCCAATTTTATATTTTAAAAATCTTTAACATAGAAAACTGATCCCAATTATGCAGAGAATGACAGTTCTAAAAATCATTTCATAACACTTAGCTTCGAATCGTAAGGATCCGAACCAGATGGTTTCAAAACTCAAATCCACTGACTCAGTTTCTTCTTCTATGAAGCAAGGATGAAGATTTTTGCAGGAGATCTGCAGAGTGAAATTTGTCGGAGTTCATAGTCGCGTTTCGTTTCGCCAGTCGTTAAACCCGTTGAATTTAAGACATAACAATTAATTATTTTATACATTAATGTTATTTCACGTTTGGCTAATTAATAGGAGATCGTTGTTATCCTCCCTTTTAAAGACCTCTTATCATTTTTGTTCAAACAAGTATCCTCAAAATCTAAAAGTCTATAATCATTTGGCAAGAGAATGATGCTTTTTTTAAAAAAATCATAAATGGTGGACTTAAATAACAAATTCATAAGCATTAAACAAATTGATAAATTGTGAAAATATGATGTGAAAGCCCTATCACGCTTTAGAAAAGTGCTAATTCTCACTTATTAGAGAATATATTACATATAAATATAAATATATATATATATATATATATATATAATCACGAGAAGTGATATGTATTTCTACAGTAATCTATCTCTATGTACTGGGGGCTGGTTTCCAGTGTCATAGTGTGTATTTGGCCACATGCCAATTATATATTTTAAATTAAGATTTAAAAATTAATTATTTTTATAATTAACGTTGTTTCACGTTTTAATTATTACATCGCAAATGAAAACTCTCTTTAATGTATATAATTAATTAAAATAGGGATAATTTGAGAAAAATTTACAAATTTCAAAGGCAAACTGTTTTGAGCTATTAATCTAAAACCAAAGAAATTTTCCAGTTAACTCTTACCTTTATCATTGGCAAGAATATTGGAAGAGTCTCTTGCTGTTTTTTTTTCCGACAATTCTTTGCATCCTCTCATACAAACTTTACAAAAATTGAAAATAAAACAAACATTATAAAGAAAGACTCAGCCCTTATTGTGAAAATATGATGTGAAAGCCCTATTATGCTTTAGAAAAGTTCTAATTCTCATTTAGAGATATTGCGTTATGAATGTGACAAGTAGGGATGTGCATGGATAGGGCTAGACGAGACCCTTGCATTTGATGCCCCGCCCAACCCAGTAGAAGCCCAAACTATTTTGGGTTGGGCTATTGCGGGCTGGGAATGGTGGGCTTTCTTTGTCCAAATTTACAACTTGAATCATGAAACTGCCATATATCTTAACAGATATCCATGCTTTAATAATTTAACAATATTCATAATTTATTAAAAATAAGACAATAAAAAATTGTAATTAAAGTCTTAAAGTTCAAATGATTTGCATCAACCTCCTCAAAGTTGAGAAAATAACAAAACATATAAAAAAAATACAAGCTATATTAACATGTTCAATTATATTATTAACTTATAGTTTAATATAATTTATAAAGATCTATATATTACATTCAAATTGGTATAATTAGTATCATTTCATGATATATGAAGTAATATCAACATGTAAAAGTTAAAAGACAATTATAGTACACAACAAGATAATTTCAAAAAGTTAAAAAAGGTGGTATATTTTTTAAAAAAAATTAGAACTTTAAAAATGTAAAGTCTAATAATATAAAGGAGTAATGTTCCTTTTAGATATTGAAATATAATAAAATATAGTATATTAATATATATTATAATATAAATAATTATATATATTTAGAGTAGGGCCAAATGGGCTGGGCAACATGCCGTGCCCCAGGCTCAGCCCTGCCTGTGAATAGCCCAACACAAAAATACCCTTTTTTTCTAGATGCATTTTTTGGGCTAGGCAGGGCATTTTTTTGGCTGGCTTGGCCAGGCATACGAGGCAATTGGGTCTCATGAACACCCCTAATGACAAGAAAACAATACAAAACTCCCTGTATGCCCTCCCAATAAGTGTAATTTTTGAAATTTGAACTTGTGTTCTCCTCCTTATGAGATGAGACTGCTTACCATCTCAACCAACAACTTGTTGGTATTAACACCTCATAGTCTAAGTATATACTGCGTCTAGTTATGAATATAAGATCTAATTAACTAATTTAAAAAAATTTAAAAGTTATTAAACTCCCTTAAAATATTTATATTTATTGATTTTCTTCAAATTAATTTGCCTTACTTATAAATTAATATATAGTCTAATGATACACATAAGTATTATAGCGAAATCATACAACATATGATATAATTAAGTGATTTAAGAACTTTATTAATCTCTCTAAATTAGTTAATTGTTTCTTATATTAATGATGGAAAGTAGTATGAATTTTTAAAAGATATTCACCAGGCCATTGCATAAAGGCTCGTTGAACGATTTCTTTACTAAGATCCTCTGTTTAATTATGCACTTTTGATTTGTAAATAAATAAAAAACCGTCTGACAGTTTGATTGTTTGAACTAATTTGGTGGAAATTTTTGAATGACTTGAAAATTGGGAGAAAAATGAGAAAGAAATATATGAATGAACGTAGATATATTTATATATAAATGCATACTTGACAATTTTTTTGGGGATAAATTGCTGGATTTAAGAACTAATTATACCTTTTTTTTTGGTTTTTTCCTCTTTTCTACTTCATATTTACAATAGGAAAAATTGCAAAGAACTTTTAGAATTGAAAAATTGCATATAATGACTTTTTTTATAAAAATTGTTGTCAATTACTTATCAATTCATTCAATTGTTATCAAAACTAATACTCATGTTGTAACAGTTTTCTATTTGTAACTTCTCCACTTTCGAGGAAGGGAATTTATGGACTTAAGAAAAAGGGGGTCACATATATAGTTGATGGGCCTATCTGCTTTCACCGTTGTTTCAGGTCCAAGGTTTTGAGGAGTGAGAAGATCTTATCCATAGACCATGATTAGCAAGGAACAAAAAAAAAGACCGGACACTAAACCAGGTGAGTTAGTGGCTCAAGGGTCAGTTGATCGGATCAGGATCAACTTGGGATCCAACCGGTCATATTAAAATAATATAATTTAATTAAAAATAACAAAATATAACAACATTAACAATTACTGATAATAAAATATAAGAAAATATGACAATAATTTGATTATAACAATAAAAAAGTATAACAACATTGAGAATCTTGATCTTTATGGTTCATCATTAATTAAAATTAATAATCATTGATACCAAAATTATCATTAAAATTCATTTAAATCTATAGGGACTGATATATTAGGAGTTGTATGAGAAAAAATAGGACTAATAACAACCTAAGCATTCAAACTAGTTTATTACCGGTTTTTATCGGTTTTCACCTGTTCACACCGGTTTGACCGGTTTTCTACTAGTTCAACTCCCTCCCAGTTTAGTATCCAAACTGAACTGAGCCACTGACTGGTCCATTGGTTTACCAGTTGAACTGGTCGATCCAAATTGGTTTTTGTTTACTGATAATTACTTAATAGGGGTGTTCAAATAAACCCATCCTAGTTTTGGCCATATTGGGACGGGACGGATCAGTTCTGAAATTTTTCGGGATGGGCGTCCTGAAAGTATGATTTTTTTTATTATCATATTATAATTATTAAATATTAAAAATACAAAATATTTAAAGCATGTGTAATACAAAATGTTTATATTTGTAGCTTTTAAGACATATGTAGTTGAATGGTTATTATTTATTTAGAGTTTTTATAGTTGTTTATGATTTTTGGAGTGGTGAAAATGAATTTTAGAGTTATTATGTTACGGATTATTATTCATTTGGACTTTTCCTTTAAGAGAGCTAAGCCCAAAGAAATAAAAAAGAAACAAAAAGATGCTTTCAAAAAGGCTAAACCCAAAGAACTAGAAATAGAAAGAGAAAAACAATCAAAGTCTATGGTAGTAGATCCAACCACAAAACAAAAATATTTTTTAAAAAAACCAAAACAAAAGGTGATGTCCTAGTCCCGTCTTGCTTCTACTGGAACTGGGGCAACATCGGGACGGGATGGGACATGGAACTGGTTTCCTATCCTGTCTCTATTCATCGAGACGGGACCAGGATGAGTTTGTCCTGGTTCGATCCAGTCCCATCCCGTCCCGTGAACAACCCTATTACTTAATGAGCCTAGATGAATGTTAATTGTTAAGTAATAAACTAATTCCTATTCTTTGCATTGTCATATTTTTTTCTTTCTTCTTTTTCTTCCTTTTTTGGTATAAACTTTGAGTCTCCCTATTGAATTATGAGTGTTAATATTAAAGTCTTTTCAACGAGTAGAGCTATCAACAAGGGCCAACTCGGCCCTATAGGACTAGCCCTTGAAGGGTCAAGGCCTAAAAAGACCAGTCCCTTAAAGCCCACATACCTTAAAATTATCTAATTATTAAAGTTTGACCCTTAGACATACGGGCTCAGGACTTAAAAGGGTTGACCCTTTTATGTTATTTTTAAAAATTTAAATTCTTTTAAATTATTTTAAAATAAAAATAAACAACAAAACTTCTAAGATTTTTTATTCAAATTATAAATATAAGTAAAATAACTAATGGTGTATAAAAAAATTAAATGCCAATAAACTATTGTCCAAAATTAAAAAAAATCAAAATCTAACAAAACACGAAAAAATAGAAAGATAAAAACCTAGCAGTTAAAGATTAACAATATCAATATCATTACTCCCCTTGTCCTTAATATAAAACTTATTTAACTAATTTGATTAGCTTAAGGAATTTAGGTAAGTTAGTTAGTTATAAGAAATGTGACACATTTTTCCTAAAATACCATAATCATCTTTCATAATACCCCATCTTCTTTTTCTACTTGATTATAGTTGAGTAAGTATCCATAGGGATAATTAGAGAAAATTAATAAATAGGAGAAATGAGTCTTATATTTAGGATCAAAACCAACTCAACAAATGGGTTCTATATTAAGGACCAGAGGAGTATTATCTTCATCTTCATCAGTATCATCAAAATTAGCAATATTTGATTGTTCTTTACTATAAGTGAGCTCTTCTTCAATGATAAAAATATTAAGGTTTTTGTTTTCATTTACCTTATCTAAAATAAAACTATGCAGTAGTTATAAGTACAAATAAGAGCCTGAACATTTGTTCGAGCAAGAAAAGCTTTACACTTTGTTAAGATATGTAAACTGATAGTAAATAAAGATTTACTAGCTATTGTGGTGATTAAAATGTTAAGAATATCAGCTGTCATTCTTGAAAGAATTGAAAATTGATTTTAATTGTTCTTCTACAAGTCCAAGACATCTTATTCTTTTTAATTATCGGCTTGAGTATTGGTTCTTCTAAATATTTTTTCTAATTTAAACTTATTCATAAAAGACTAATTCATAACTTTATAAATATATTGATAATAATAAAAAAAAGACGGGCTTAAAAAGGCTAGCCCTTGGCTCTAAAGGGCTGGCCTTTTTATTTTTGAGCCCTATAGGGCTAGTCCTTTTAGGTCCAATTTCTTTTTAAACCATCTAAAATATAAGCCCAGTCCTCTACTTAAAAGGGCTTAAAAGGGCTGACTCCATGGGCTTGGCCCGTTTTGACGGCTCTACCAATAAGTATATTTCTTGAAATATGAACCCGTGCATTGTTATATTTTCAATCCAAAGACTTTGTACCAAAAACAATTGTTAAGAGTTTAAAATTTGAAATAAAATCATTTTGCCTGTTTTGAATTCCTGTTTGCACCATTATTTTGAACAATCATGTATCGGTCATAAAGTCATGATATTTTCACATATTTTATAAAAACTCAAAATCCTATAATAGAACTTAAATTAAAGAAAGAAACAAACTAAAAAGTTTTTTTAAAAATCCTTAATTAAACGAAAAAGGTTGAATGGTTGGTAACTAATTTTGAAATGACATAAGTCGATGATATTTCAATACCAAAAAAAGAAAAGGTTGCTGATACATGGAAAATTTTATTCACATGATAAAACGGTACACAGCATGCAAATGAGGGCAAATCATCACTCAAAATTCATGCAAAAGTAAAAAACAATAACTTACATTGCAATGAAATACACAGTACATTCCAATTGCCAACAAGATATTTATGAAACATGAAATAAGAACCATACAGGAAACATTAAAAAAAAAAAAAGATGACACAATATCACAGGAAGCGACATTTTATGCCTAATTCATTCTTCTTTCTTTGGATGAGCTATTTTCTTCTTCTTCTTTTTTTTTCGCTTGTTTCTTAGGCCTAGTTTAAAATATTCTAACAAGCCTTTTAGGTTTCCCAGTTAAAAAGACAACTTGACCTGTGAATATTTCAAACACCATCCCACATGCATATCCCATAGCTACTGGTTTCCAGCCAAATCCAAATTTGGCATTACTTGATGAGGTTGGTTGTGGTAATTTCCCTTCATCATGATTACATGCTTTTGACAATGGAAATCCACATAATCCTAAATTTCCCTCATAGGAATCATTTGAAAATGTATCAAATTTGCCTGAGCCTCGTACATAAAGGCTGAGTTTTGTAAAATGGCTCCAGCGGCCCGTGAAAGGCCGGCCCATTTCCCAGTCCTCCGGTAATGCACCGTTACCAGATCTTTCACTTCAGATGGAGGGAGGAAGTGACGGAGGGAGTAGCAAAATCCTCTCGGTCACGACCACCCAAATACACCTCCTTTTTGGCTTTCCCAGTTCCCACAAAGGAATTTCCGAGAGAAAGGTCAAAGCAGATGAAACGGGTAATATCTCTCCCTGCCCCTTTTGTTAATCCATTTCATGTCGTGCCATAGGCGAGTTTTATTCTAGAACTATGATACCTTTTAAAATGAAAATCCTATTATGAATTTTATTCCATCCCATGTTGTTCTGATTTTTCATTAAAGTAAATTCATTTCGAGAATGGGATGGTTTAGCATGAATTCTCTTTGTGAATTCTACAGATTCACCTTCGATAGCAATAATATTCTGTTTCCGTAATCCCTGTTGTTGATTGATCTCCATGTCAAAACTTCATCGTCATTTGATGTTTTCGTTTAGGGCATTGGGTTGGTTAAATCTTATTCGTCCGTGAAATTCTTCTGCGTAGTCTTAACAGTATGGATTTATTCTGAGGAGTTTGTGTTTGATTCCTTATTCATGGCCAATATTTTCTCACATGTAAGTAGTGAAATATAAGGGTCCGTTATGTGCAAAGTTGTGTTCATTTCTTTTGCATGTGTTTGCTGCTGTTTGGACTATTAATGATGAATATACGAGGAAGTGTTTTGGTGCATATTGTATTTGGCCCGTGTTAGCGGACTGATAAGTGAGCAAAGTGAGTGTATATAAGACTTAGCCTACTAAGCATTTTAGATGAGAAAGGGATCATAATTTGTATAAATTTTACCCCAAGGTCTTGTTCTCTTACATTTTCAAATTTTCTGTTGAGTTCCAAAAAAATCTTGAGGATGGAGGGTTTCGTTGGTTACATTCGTTTGGTGATTATTCAAGATAACGGCGATGGATTTTGTTCTGAGTAGTTCGTGTTTAATTTTCCTTTTTTCACTATTATTTTTCATGTGTAAGTGGTGTATTCACTTTCTTATCTTTCTTTCTTTGTTTCCCCCCCCCCCCCCACTCTCTTTTGGCCAAAGGGAATACATTCCTTAAGAAAGATCAAAACCAATACATCATAGGCAAAGTAAACATTATCCAAAACCACAAAAAGAGATAGCAGGCAACATCTGATCTATAGGCTTCTCAAACGAGCACAATGCTGGAACTAAAGGGATTGTAGGTTTTACAAGTCAATCATAAAGGCGCAAGCCCAACAACAACTCCGTAGCACTTTCAAAAGAAGCTAGGTTGCTAAGCTGAGAAACATCTTTGGAAGGAAAATTGCCCTCAAATAAGAAGTTCCACCAAACATAGCACTGCTAAGAATATTTATAAGATGTTTGCTATAAGAGAGAACCAACAGCTTCGTGTCATCTAGATCTTCAATTGATCAGTTTCTCATTTAGTGGGTCATTCTGTGAAAAGCTGTGTTCGTTTCTTTCACATGTGTTTGCAGCTGTTTGGACTGTTAAGAATATATGCAAATGTGGTTGGGTCACTCAAATCCAATTGTGCTTTTTCTATGTTAGTCAACTGATAAAGAATGTCCTAAAAAAAGTCGGTGCATGGATGGCTTACTGTCATATGCACTTTAGATGATAAAGGAACATAATTTTACTTTGTTTTTTCTTCAAATCTTTATCATGGACTCATTATATACTATATAACTCTGTTGTTCTTGTGCTAGTTCATTACATGAATTAGTGCCCATAATTGTGTAGTATTTTGTTCAACATTTTAGCTTAGGTCTAAACCCAATTATGCAAACCCGCTTTCTATTGAATGTCTGCTTATCAAACTTCAGTTGTTCCAACACAAGTTGAAGGTCTCTTTTGCTATACTGGATTTTCTAAAATAAATTTTCCCAACGTCATTTTCTGCAACTAATATCCAGACATGAGCATTCTTTTCCTGCAACTTCTGGTGTCGTTGTTTGCAAGCTAACCATAAAGCGGACAGGCCCAACAACAACTCCTTAGCAATTTGGAGAGTGGCTAGGTTGTAAAGCTGAGAAACTTCTTTGGAAGGAGAAATGTCCTCAAATAAGAAGTTCCACCAAACACAGCACTGATGAGGATATTCAAAAGACAAAACCAACACCTTCTTGTCCCCTGGATCTTCAGTCAACCAGTTTTTCATTTAATGGATCATTCTGTGAAAAGCTTTGTTAATTTATTTTGCATGTGTTTGCAGCTGTTTGGACTTTTAAGAATACATGAGAAGATGGTTTGGGTTGCTCAAAATCCCGTTGTACTTGGCCCATGTTAGTCAACTGATAAATAATCTGGTCAGAAAAAGTCAGTGCATACAATGCTTATTGTAAAATGTATTTGAGATGAGAAAGAAATCATAATTTCTCTGATTTGCTCTATTTACTCTTCAAATCCCTAACATGGACTCTTGGTATGATGTGTATGTCTCTGTTATTCTTGCTAATTCATTGCATGGATTAGTGCCCATGATTGTGTAGTATTATGCAAGATATGGTTGAGCATTTTAGGTTTTCTGATTAGGAAATAGATATATCCTATGAGGAAGAGATCCCAAATTGATTGGCAGTACTGTGGGTTGAAATAGGTCTATGTGGTTTTTCTTTATTTCTATTTTTAATCGTTTTTTGTGTGATCTTTTCTAGGGGCCATTTTGTTTGTGATGTGAGGGTATTACCACTGTACTGCTTTTAAGGTAAGTCCAAATGTCCCATCTCCGGTAGCCATTGCAGTAATGACCGGCGATGCTATGATTGGACTTAGAGCAAGATTATTCCATTTCACATCCTGGTAGGAACTGTGGTTCCTATTTTCTTTGGATCCATGGTGTTAATTTCTGGGATTACATATTTCTCTCTGTTTTATTTTTTTAAACGTGGTTTCTATTTAATGGTATACATTACTTGAAGTTTATGAGTACTTAAGTTAAAATTGGAATTGTTGGTTGAATACCTTGATGTGAATTTCTGGCTTACCGAGGTTACATACTTAATATGCTTTTAAGATGGTTTAGAATTTTTGCAAATGTAGAGATGGGTTTAAGGAATATACTGTCCACCTACGATAGGGACTAATCTCTCGCGTTGTAGTGAGAGCAAAACGCAAATCTCTGCCAATTAGGTTGCTGTATTGTTCTCGAGGGTTGAAATCGAACCCCCGACCTCATGATTAAGTGATGAGAGTTCCTACTACTAACGTTAACCTGGTGGTAAATACTACCTCGTTTGCTTAATATAAGGCCTAATAAATTAATTTAAAAAGATTAAAAAAATTACTAAATTATCTAATTGTAGTATATATTACACGATTTTTTTAAAATACTTCCGTGCATTATTGTATTATATATTGATTTATAAGTGAGACAAATTAGTTGGAAAAAAATGATAAGTAAAAATACTTTAAAGTAATTTAAAGTAATTGAGTAATCTTTTTAATCTTTTTAAATTAGTTAGTTGGGTCTATTTTTCAGTAGTATTTGTATTCTTCGGTCTGGTGCAGCTGGGCCATCCTAAACTTGCACCAAAGACATCCCCTGTAAAATTTCTTTCCGAGTCGCAGACTACTCGTTTATGAATTTCTTTTCGGAAAAATGTGTCTAATTAAAAAAATTCTAGTAAATGTTTTAAGTGAGCATCCTATTTATAACTTTAGGCCGCTGAGATCTGTCAAAAATATATTTATATGAAAAAAAAAAAACATCATGGGAAAGCATTGGGACACAAATTTTCTTTGTCCCCCTAATTTCGCATAGCCTACCTCACTTTTCCAAGTTTTCACCTCATGACTTCACTTTGCTTAACCATGGACTCACCATGACATTATATCTTGTTTTCTTTGATAATATTATACATATTGCTCTAATTCTATTTATAAGGCACTTTCAATTTGTTTCACACAGACCAAGAAAAACCTTAAATTTCATTAATTCTCATTTAAAATTTAATAATTTTTCAACTTTATCCCCATTTAATATATATTATATCTCATGTAAATAAAGTTAACACAATAATAAAGGGTAAAATTATACATCCACACAAAAAATTTCTTTCAGTGCCTTATAAATATGATCAAAAAATACCTTTTCTCTGTTCTATAAATAGGACCAGAAGAGTACATACATAATACATAATTGCGTACGTGAATATTTTCCAATCGTCAAACAACGTGGCGATGATCAGCAAGTTTAACTTTTACTTTATTTTTGTGAAACTACAAAAAATTTAATCAGTTATTATGCAGCTAGGAACATTTGTTTCCTGTAAAAAGTAGCATGCCCATGTGATTGTTGATATTTAATTTAAAATAAGCGGGTAATCTTTCGTGCATTCATAATTTAATAGTTTAACCACAATCTTAAATTGAGAATGTTTTAATTTTATATAAATTTATATTTATATTTTAAATTGACTGATATATATATATATGTGTGTGTGTGTGTGTGTGTTTTTATTATATAAGTAGTTTTCTAGAATCAAACATAACGCAGAAAGAGTCTTTTTAAGCTTTAGAGAGACCAAAAGAACATTATTTTTCAGACGAAGTTATATTTTTTGCCGACGAATAAGGTATCTTGCTTATCTCATATAAATAATATGTTTTATTGCAGATTTTATATTTTACAATGATCAATGGGAATGAGACAATTCATTAATATAACATCATCTTTTTTGTCTACCAACTAACATAACATGACCAGGCATTATCCTACTTTATTAGTTTATTTCATCTTAACAAAGTAGTAACTAATTTAATTATTATGGATATAGAATTTGAGAAAATAAAAGGAAACCTAGGCATATAACAGGCTAAAGTTGATTTTTTTTTTTTGGTAATAAACTCAGAAGGGAACGGGTCCCATACAATCACTTGATAGCAAAGTTTCTAAATGAGTAGGACAGGAATGTAAAACGAAATTAAATGAAAGTCCTTGTTTGGCTAAAGCATCAGCCATCTGGTTTTGTTCCCGAAGAACATGAGTCACCTGCACCTCCCATGAGTAGTCAAGCAAATTCCATATCTGGAAAAGAGTAAGACTACTGTTATGAAAGTTATCCTTGGTTTGAACCATCTCTACTAGAATCTTTGAGTCTGATTCCAGAATTATTTTCCTGAATCCACATTCCCAAGCCAATCTCAAACCTCTTAACATGGCCCATTCTTCCGCAGCAAGGATAGTACAGTTTCCAAGAGTTCGAGTAAACCCGACAATCCATGACCCATCATGGTTTCTAATAATTCCACCACATCCAGCTTTGCTCCTAGTTGCTGAAACAGCACCGTCTACATTCAGCTTTACCCAACCAGGTTGAGGGGGTATCCATTTTGATGAAGCTCTTTGTGGAGAAGATACACGCGTTGAGGAAATATCAGTATCTTGCACAAATTTCCTCCAACAATTCATGATAACAGCAGCTGGGTTGTCTGGTTTTATAAAGTCAGCCTCAAAGATAAAACTATTCCTCCATCTCCATAGCATCCAGACGGTAACACCCCATAAAAGACTCCAAGGAATAGATGAGTTAATTCCTAAGTCTTTTTTGAGATTCATGGCAAACCAATCTCTAATAGAAGCAACAAAGAATTGAGTATAATGAAGCAGGTTCAAGAAGCATGTCCACAACTGTCTTGCATAATTGCAATCTCTCAGAATATACATCACATTTTCTACTGCAGCATTGCAAAAGGAGCACAAAGGTGAAGTTTGCGACCATTTGCTTCTCCATTCATTAGTAGGAAGTCTGTTATGAAAAGAAGTCCATAAAAAGACTCTAATTCTTTCAACTCCTCTCCATTTCCAAATATCCTTGTAAGTTGAGCTATACAGACTATTGGGTGGCGGTTCAATCATATAGTAAGTGCTTTTAATAGTAAAGTTACCATGACTATGGGCATTCCAAAGCATGATGTCATTACCTGCTTCTGTCATAGGGGGAAGGATTACCATTAGTTGTTTTAAAACCTCTCTATCAACAATAGAGCCAAGTCTAGTGAATTCCCAAGCGCCATGTGCTACCCAATCAGCAACTGTACTTTCTTCCTCTTCTGGAGTAAGCACTCTAAGACAATGATCTTTAATTTTTGAATCTGTAACTAGCCAGCAATGATTGAAGAAGCTTACAAACTGACCAATTGCGAATTTTCCATCTTGTACCTTGGTCAATGATGTCTTTTTGTTGACAAATGAACTTCCAAAGACTAGAATCACCTCGCTCTACATTCAGGAGATTGTCATCACTCCTAATCATATATTTTTGTTGAAGAACTTAAGCCCACAATCTATCCGAACCAGCCACCAAATGCCAGGCTAATTTTGCCCCGAAGACTTTATTCATAGAGGAAAGCCTTTTCAAACCAAGACCCCCATAGTTTTTTGGTTGTACAATTCGCTCCCAACTAAGTGGATGAAATTTTCTGCATTCTTGTGTGTTTCCCCAAATGAAGTTGCGTTGAATGGTTTCAATTTCATTGCAAACGCTAGCTGGAATTTTCGCAACTTGCATTGGGTATAAGGGAATAGTGTTCAACACTGATTTTGCCAAGGTGATCCTCCCTGCTGTTGATAAACATTCAGCTTTCCAAGAAGTCAATTTAGATCTAACTCTGTCCACAATATAATGGAATTTTTCCTTGGTTCTGCTACTTTCAACAAGTGGAAAGCCAAGATACCTCCCAATCTCAGAAGAAATTTTAATTCCAGTGATATCTCTTAGAGTTCCTCTTACAGCCGCAGTTACCTTGGGGGAGAAGAATAAGGAAGACTTTGGCTTGCTTACTTTTTCACCTGAAGCAGTACAGAAACGATCTAAGCAATCCATCATACAAAGTGCTTGCTCTTTCGTAGCTTCTCCAAACAGCAGCAAGTCATCGGCAAACATTAAGTGAGAGATGTTAGGCCCTGATTTGGTAACACGAATTGGTCGCCATTTACCTTTATCAACAGCATCATTTATTAAATGGGATAACCTATCCAAACACAGCACAAACAGAAATGGTGAAATAGGATCTCCTTGGCAGAGACCACGTTGAGGAACAAAAAATTCAGTCTTAGAGCCATTCCACAACACATTATAAGAGGTGCTAGTGACACAGTGCATAATAAGATTAACAAACTTATCATCCATTCCAGTGTCTTCAAGAACTTGCTTCAGGAACTTCCAACTGATTCTGTCATAGGCTTTTTCTAAATCAATTTTTAAAGCCATTAATCCTTTTCTTCCTTTAGCCTTTCGCATAGTGTGAAGTATTTCCTGCCCCACTATAATATTATCTTGTATATGCCGACCTGGAATGAACCCAGCTTGGAAAGGAGAAACAAGTTTGTCCATGATACTTTTTAATCTGAGGGTGATCACCTTAGAGATGCATTTGTAATGGACTGAGCATAAGGAAATTGGTCTAAAATGTTCAACCCTCTGAGGCTGTTCTCTTTTAGGAATAAGAGAAATCAAGGTATTATTAGCTTCCTCCACTGTCTGATTTCCTGCAAAAACCTGTTGAACAAAATGACAAAGAGACGATCCCACAACTGACCAGTTTGCTTGAAAGAAAATTGGTGAAAACCCATCAACTCCTGGTGCCTTATAAGGACCCATAGAAAAGAGTGCATCGTGTATTTCTTGCTTCGTGGGTATAGCGCCTAAATTATAAGCATCTATATCAAGCTGCGGGAATCTTGTCTCAGTTTGTAGGAGGACAGAATCCTGCGCCTCTGATTGAAAGAGCTTGCTGAAATAATTAACCACTAAAGCCTTCAACTCTTGTTCTTCTTCTATCCAGATATTTGAATCATTCTGCAGAGTTAGAACCTTATTTCTCCTTCTTCTCATAGTTGTTTTAAGATGATAATATCTGGTATTTCTATCACCCTTAGCAACCCACTCTGTTCTTGATTTTTGGAACCATTTTATCTCCTCCAACTTCATAACTTCATCTAATTCTTGCTGCAATTTAGCTTCTAAATGGCTCAAAAAATTAGAATAAGGATATGAGGGCGAATTTTGTATTCCGTTTAGCCTTGCCATAATCATCTTCTTTCTCTTCTCAACCAAACCAAAAACCTCCTTATTCCAATAGCTCACCACTTCACTAAAATGTTTCAAATTATCATTTATATTACCAGAAATCATCCAGTTTTCATTTAAGAGCTCAGAAAAAGATTCATGAGATAACCACATAGCTTTAAACCGAAAAGGATGATTTACAAAAGGAGCAGGGGATGAGAAACCCAAAGATAAAATGAGAGGATTATTGTCAGAAAATTGAGTTCTAGGTAGTACCTTGACAACGCAACTTGTGAAGACGGATATAAAATTCGCATTAGCTAAGGCCCTGTCTAGCCTTTCATATAGCCGCAAGTACCCATTAATTTTGGGACCTCTCCACGTAAACTTCGGACCAATAGAACCCAGGTCGGCCAATCCGCAACAGTGAACTTGATCTTGGAATCAACGGATTCTAGTCATGTTAATTCGGACTCCTCCAATTCTCTCATAAGGATGAAGGATATCATTAAAATCACCCAAAATTGCCCAAGGCTTTGAGATTTGATAAGAGAAAAGTTTTAATTTTTCCCAGAGAAGCTGACGAAAATTGGAGTGGGGAAGAGCATAAATGGTAGTAAGCAGAAACGATGTACTTCCATCAAGAGAGCAATCAAGATGCAAGAATTGTCTACCTTCTTCTAAAATACTGATTTGAGCATAGTCACTCCTCCAGGCAGCCACAATTCCTCCAGATCTTCCAACGCTAGGAATAAGCTTCAGATTGTCATAACCCAGCGAATGTAAAAAACGAAAACGATTTTCTTCTGTACAGTGCGTTTCAGCAAGAATAATAACAGCAGGCTTTGGTCCACTTATCACAGTTTTAAGGTTTCTGCAGAGGCCCGGTCCACTGGATCCTCTTGTGTTCCAATAGAAAACTTTATCCATAAGATAGATAAGAAAAGAGGATAATGGACTCACTTAAAATTGAGTCTCGGGCACCATTGACTCATCACCAAGTTCGCTTGGAGCACTTCTTTGGTCCACTGGGCTTATCTCATACAGCCCAATATTAGAGGCTCCAGGATCTTTATCTTCAAGCATGGCTTCTCCTGGGTCAATCGGGATGCTTGAAAAGGCTACCTCCGTTGACCGGTTAGAAGAAATTAGACAATTGCTCTCCCCACTATTTTGTTCTTTTCCTTCTTTCTCCGAAATGCCCTCGTTTTCTTCACTAATCATCATCTCATCATTTGTTGTGCCCCCTTGTTCTACCACGTCCCTTGCTCTTTTTTCTGCACATTTCAATTTCTCTCTCAATATCTCTCTCTGTTGTACGTTCTCGGTGTGCGCACTCTGGGCCAAAACAATTGCTCTCTCCATATTGTTGGCGTTCGTTTGTGTCTCTCCACCTTTTTTTCCCCTTCTCTACTCGTACAAGAGCAGTACGTTTCTTTTGGTAGTGCGCCTTCCGTTGCATCGTGTCGTCTGCTTCTGGCATAACCGTTTTGGTGGCAGTGATTTGATTATTAATCTCATTAATCTCCTCTTCATCAACTAAAACATTAAATCTGGATCCTAATTTCTCGTGCTTAGACCCCTCTCCCTGTTTCTCCTTCATCTTTCTTTGTCATCTCTGTTTCTGCACTACTGTCCAGTGATCATGTATTTTGTGGCTGTCCTCCATTCTTTGATCGCTATTCACCGTAGTCTTGCCATTCGCAGCATCTACATTCTCCTCTATGTTTATCTTTTTTGAAGAACACGTCTCTGACCTATGGCCGTAAACTCCGCAGCTTGTGCAAAGCATATGGAGACCTTCATACTTTAAATAATAAGCTTCCCCATCTAAATAAAATCCTGACATAAGTTGCTTTCCTAGCTCCACCAAGACACAAATTCTTGCGTAATGACCCCTTAATTGACAAGAGGTATTCATATCAATTCTAATTGTTTTTCCGATCCTATTACCAATGATGGTAAGTGCTTCTTTATCATAATATTCCATGAAGATCTTCGGCAGTCTCACCCAAACAGCTACTTTGTCTATGGTTGCTCTATCTGATCTGAAATTTGGCTCCCATGGCTGCATAGTTAGATAGTGGTCGTAGATCATCCATGGACCCCCAGTGAGAGCTTCATAATAGTCTTCTTTGTTTGTAAACTTCACCACATAATAACCATGTCCAATATTAATCAATCTAATAACTCCTCTCTTTACCCACATCGATTGTAGACGGGTTTCGAGTGCTTTGTAGCCTATATATCTATCCAGGAGCTTCACAATCAGAGACTTCCTCCACGCCCTGTACAGTTTCTTCTTCATACGATTAGAGAACGTAAATGTAGGGAAGTTTCGATTAGGATCCTCTGATGTTTTGTATAGGGGTTCATCAGCATCTATATTTTGCTCTTTAAGAGAATCTGAACTGTTGCCATCCACACTATCATTATCGTAATATTCTTCCTCATCAGCCGAGTCCTCATCTCCCCTGTTGACACCTTTCAGTTTATTAGCAAATGACTGTTTCCCAGAGGTGCTGTCTTTGAAGTTTTCTCCTGGCTTTGGCCAGTGGCCTTGCAATACACTTCGACTGTTATCTCCATTTCCATTTTTGATCTTTTTCGAGCTTCTCGCCAATAGGTCATCGTCTTCTTCATTCGACATAGGAATGACAGTGTTTCTTCGTCCAGAGAGCACAAGAGTCATTTTCCCTATCCTGGCTAAAGTTGATTTGAGAAAATAGAAGGAAACCTGTTTGTGTGTGTGGGTGTGGGTGTAACAGGCTACAGTTGATCTTTCCCTTGGTGCACTTTATTCTTACCTTCCTCTTAAAAGAAAGAGCCGGGCCAGCTCGTTAAGAATCTTCTTTTTTTTTTTTCCCGGTGAATCAAAAAACAAAAAACTGGCTAAGATTTCAATTAAAAGAAAAATGGTTAAAAAATTTATTTCTCAAAGATGTCTAAAAACTCAAGTTTTTGAGTGGATACTGGATATAATTATCTTTAGCAGGCATAATTTTTTCCCCCTACTATGTGCGGCATATCTTTAGCTGTATGTAAATGTATTCTATTTCATATATATAAGTTACACATAGTTAAAAAAGACTTACATCCACTGAAGATAAATTGTACTTGGGTTCTTAAACATATTTCGAATCCTTTTAGATAATAAATGTTGGAATGGAGGATGGTTTTTTAAATCAATATTCTCGCCATTAAATCAAATGGATGCATAAAAGAAAACTAATAAAAAAAAGTATAGTGATGATTCATATCCATGATAATGGTTTCAACCTTTTAGAGCTGAGCATCACAGAAGTGGAGCCTCCATCATGTGTATATCATTTTTGTTACTTTAAAGGAAGTCACTTCGAGAATCCTAACTTAATTTAACATTCATTGTAATTTTATACATTTATATGATATGAAGAAGTATGATAATAAATTTGGGGAAGAGAACGAATGGATTTCCAAACTTTATTCGTTGATCAAGAGAGACTAATAGACCAAAAAGAAATTGAAAAGAAACAAAAGGGTGCAAAAATACCCATAAGTTTTTGACTGAAGCACACCCACTGTCATAAGTTTTTCGAAAATATAAAACTACCCATAAAGTTGCAAAATCAGAGGAAAAATGACAACGTTGAGTTTGTTTAATGATTGTTACTTTTTGTGATAGGGGCTACACTAATAGCCTATCCCTAAGTGGTTTAGGATCCAAATCTGGGGATTAGTTTTTTAACGAAGCCAATGTGAGATAGTTCAAAACTCTTATAAAATATCAAAATTATCCGTAATAAATGTCATTAGTTCGAGCCATTTGTTTAATTAGTTAAAAAGTTTTATAATTTGCTCGGGATATAGGATAAAAATATTATTACTTAAAATAAAGCCTGTTTTATATCAAGGACATGTTAGAAGTACTTGTAATAACGATCATAGAAAATATAAAGTTTGACACTGTATTATATAAAGAGCCATTTGATTTGAAACCAAAAAAAAAAAAAAGTAGTCTGGATTTAATTAAGGAAAATGGATAGAAAGAGATCATATTCATAATTAGAACCAAATAGGACACAAAAGGGGCTACATGGTTCATACCGAAAGCAACTTAAATCCTTCAGAAGATGCTTTGCGCTACCAATAATATTTCCTTCATATTTTCTCTCTTCACTTTTGTATAATCACCACAAGAAAATCACAATTCCAGTTCAAAAATGAGGCTGGGGTCGTCGTCTTGGAAGAAATGGCCCAGCTGGAGGAGGAGATGATGAACTAGAGCTGTCTGGTTGATAGGATTGAAGAATGGTATACACGGTCTGAACAATAGTCAACACAAACAGAAATATTGCAGCAGCAAGAGACACAATCGCCCATGGATTTCTGAAGTAAGTTTCAATGAGATTAGCTCTCCACTTATTCCATGGCTTCTTGCAATATCTACACACACTCACTTGCACTATATCCAGACCTCCTCCTCCGCGATCAACAGAAACATCCCTAGACAGTGAGTTAAAAAGCTTGGCCACAGCTTTATCACTTCCTAAAGCATTCTGTACAATCCCTTTTTGCTCCAAAATCACCACGTCAATCTCCTTGTCGATGATGTTATCCATGAAGAGGACAAACGAAGAAACCTCGTTGCCTGCTCCCACATGCATGCGTTCGAATGCTATGAGGTTCAACAAGGTTGTCTCTGTGCAGTCATCGAGTATTATTGAAGGGATTCTGAGGATTCCGCCATTGAAGGAGACATCTTTGAGGCTGTGGGTTCTGCTTGGCTTGAAGGTGATGCTAGCTTCTTGAAGCTCTCTTGCAGAGGGAATAATGATTTCGTCGTCTTCTTTGTGTTTCTTTGATTTGATTGGTTTGGGAATGATTGTGGGGTGAGTGGGTTCATGTTGAAGGAGGGATTTTCTGTAGAGATCTACGATGTGTAAGGATTTGCCAAAGCTTTTGAAGATTGGAGGTGTGCTGGGCCAAAAGAATTTGAGGATTAGCTTGTTCAACAACTCTGGATCCTATAATATAGTAATGGAACAAAATGAAAATGAAAGAGATTTGTGAATGTATAAATCAGTTTCTTTATTTTAACAGAAAGTGCTAAGATAATTATTTTAAATAACTGATTACTTGATAATGAAGATGAGAATCTTTTGGCATAAATAAGAAAAAGCTTGTATCGCTCAAGCTCATCCTTTCTTTCTTTGTTGCTGTTGTTGTTTTTTTTTTTTTGGTCACAGTTCCTCAAACCAATCTATTTGAAATCTTTTATAGCCTTTAAAACAAAATTTGGATCTCTCAATCTACAAAGTGGGACGCAGGCGACAACAATAGTGACAGATAGGTCCTATTTCTTCTTGCATCTTTCCCATGCTTGATTAATTGTTAAGTAATTAAGAAAATCCAAAATCCACATGGCACTTCTCTTTATCGAAATGACATAATAAAACATCATAGTTAAAAATGATTTTGCAGCGACAAAAACATCAATCCATATCACTGTTTCTCTCAAATTGTCACTAAAAAGTCTCTCGATGAGGTTAAAATGTTGTAGCAGGAGAGTTGCAGGAGACGAAACTGGTTGAGTCAACCAGCGCTAGTAAAAGCAAATGAATTGAATATGAGATAGAATTTAACATAATTAAAAATGCCCTAAACATATATAACATAAAATCCACAATTAAATACCTGGGCTTGGTTTCCCTCAAATTCGATCAGTTTCTCAAGAACCATCATGGGAATCTGATTCTCAAGCATAAGCATATCACGTTTGATATACGGTATAGTATAGAGTCTTCCATGGCAACTGAAAATGGGATCATTCTCTGCATAATCACCATTATTATCGCAAAATGCAAATCTGAGAACTTCAAGCATGAAACACCCATCAACAATTATCATCTTCAAGAAGCTATGACCATTATTATTCTCGTTCTAGTTCTTCCATTCCAGTGGCTTGTAACAATCCCTCAAGTCGTCTTCCACTTTGGCCATAGTTTTGATCAGCGATTCCAATGGCTTAGCACACCTTCTCAGAAAGTGAACCAGAGCTCTTTGCTTGTGCTCTTCCATGGCTAACAGATGCTTCTTCATGTGGTGATATGGACCAAACGACACCGTTTGAGGGTTGTAGACCTTCTTGTTCAGGTCTGCAACACAGGAGGGAATTGCATAAATGCAATGCTTCTTCCATTTTTGAATCTCCATTGAAGAAGATTCATGGTTCTTCAGCTTCTCGTTGATTTCAACCACCCACTGATCAGTTTCAAAATCCATTTGTTTGATAGCACAGTTGCTCTTTCTTGTTTGAATCTCTTGAGATGTGTTTATAGTGATCTCTTTGCATGTAAAGAACGAAACTTTTATTCTTCTCTTGAAACAAATGATTAAAGTAATGTATTCATGATTTATTAATCTACTTTATGTTCTATGATTCCTTACTTGCCACTTGTTGGTTGCTAATTATTAATTGGATTCTTAGCCGGGAGATGAAGATAAGAATAAGTTTAACAGCCGAAAAGCCATATCTATCACTCTGTATACAAGTTTCTCTTTTATTTTGTGAGCTTGGAAGCCCAAAAAGAATTAAAATTCTCGTTGTTTTTATTTTTTTTGCTGTTGTTGTATGAAATAAAGTAGAACAGTGTGTGTGTGTGATTATATATACAGTTCTATTGTCTATCTCCATCTTCTAGACTCACTAGCGATCTGATTTGGATCAGAAATTTTCATCGTTGAGTGAGCTTAAATTCAAGTTGAGCCACCATTGAGTTGGACCCTAATACCAAAAATGTTTTCTAACTCCGCCCAAAAATACAATAGAAGTACTCGGCGTAATATATATCAAGGGAAAATTTGGAAGAGGGACCTAATGGTTACAATATTTATGGGGGAATATCTTAAAAATTGTATTTATTTAGAAGGACCAAATACTAAAATATAAATTTAAAATTACCAATTTACCCTTAACAAAATCCCATATATTATCTCTCACCACATCCTATAATTTTCTTTTTTTAACAAAATAATTAAAGTTTATTCAGATTAATTGAAACTAATTGGAATTACTAAGTTACGAAACGATTCTAACTAATTAAATTAAATCCAATTAATAAGGAACACTAACTAATTTATTCGTCATCATTTTAAAAAAATAAAAATATTTTTTTGGGCTTCCTGAATAATGAGCCAATCAAAATCATATAGTTGAATTAAAAATTAAAAAAAGTTATATAATAATAAATAATATATAACTTAGGGAAAATCCCAATTAAATCCATCTGAAATAATGAAACTCGAATTAATGCTTATACTTTTAACGAATTCCTAATTAGGCTAAGAGGCCTAATTAGGGATTTTCAAATGTTGCTGAAAGACCGGAATGCCTCTTTGTAATAAAAAAAGAAAATTGAAAGTAGGTGTAAATCTGATTTTAGTTTTAATTATTCTAGTAGATTTACTAATGAAGACGTGGTATTTCTTAGATTTTATGTCAAAGGTGTGTTTTGTAATTGTGAACGTTATGTCAACTCTAGAATTTATGGCCTTTTAATTTTTTTTATATAATAAAAATTTGATATTGAATAAATCTTGGAGACCGGAAAATTGAAGATGAATTGATGAGCCTCAATGTAAGTTGTGAAATAGTAAAATTAATTTTGATAAATATTCAACCATTCCATGAATCTTTGATTTGATTTTTTCTCGCACAAAAAAAAAAATTTGATCTTGTTAATCTTTTACATATGAAATCGTAAAAATTTTTATTAGTTCCCATATTTTTGCAATTCTATAGATATCTAGAAATTATGTATTTTTTTTATCTTGAATTTTCAATTATTTTTTATTGGTCATAATTGTGATTTTTATTTTTTTATTTTTTATATGATAATATTTTTGGCCAAATTTTCATGTGATAATGTTTAAAGAAAAAACATGTTAGTTAAATTCAATTAAAAGAATTAAAACTAACATTAGGCTTTTTAATTATGAAGGGTATTTGGTCTTTTAGAAATATTTAAAATTTCCAATTAGGCCTCTTGGACTAATTAAGAATTTGTTAAAAGTGTAGGCTTAAATTAGAATTTTGCTATTTCAAATAGATTTAATTAGAATTTTCCCTATAACTTATCCATAATTCATAAGAATAAAAAAATATCATGTAGGTTTTAACTTGAATTTTCTTACTTAAACTATCATAACTACTTTTATTATAACAAATATTTATTGATATAATGAATTTCTTTTGTCACTTTTTATTCTAAATTTTTAATTTTATTAAGTAAGAGGACTCAACTTATTCAAATAAAATAAGAGTATGAAATGGATAAGCAAAATATAGAACAACTTTTTTTTCGGTGAATGGTGGAATTTTACTACCCTGCACATTTTTCAGAAAGCCTACAAAAAATATTAATTAAAAATAACAGAAAAATAAATTAACTAGTGTTGGCTATTAATTTAATTAATTAGAATCAGTGTTTGACTTTGAAATTTAAATTAGTTTGAATTAATTCAAATAAACTGTAATTATTTTACTAAATGATATGAAAATTATAGGAGGTGGGGAGAGAATATAGGGATTGTGATGTGACTAGGGGTGATTTTAGTCTTTTTAACTTTATATTTTAACATATGATCATTCTAAATAATTAAGGTTTTAAAGATCCTTTCTAATAAATATCTTTTTCACCTGGTCCCTCTCTCTAATTTTCCCATATAGCAATTCACTAATACTAATATAATACTGTAATATATGCAGTAAAACTCTACATATAATCGTTGGGTAAAAAACTATACAATCAGACACCATTCTAATTTATTTCATTCCAAAATCAAAGGCAATGACCAGGTTAGTTCTTTTAGATTTCCCAATTCAGAAAATATTAAAGATAATTTGGTATATAAAAATGCTAAAAACGGCCTTTAATTTCGGCGGCTAGTGAACCTGTTCTTAACTTGGTGTTATAAGAAAGAGTAGAGCGTACAGGGCTAAGAATCCATTTAATTCGGAACCTAACAATCTGCAAGAAAGGAATTTTAGGACGTAAAATAGATTGATAAATTATGATTATATTAAATTAATCATTTACTTGAAGATCAGAGAAGAGCACAAGTCTAGTTTCTCTCTTAACAGGCAAGGAAGAAAGCGATCGAACAAATGGATTTTGGAAACAGATCAGTGGGTGATTCAAATTAACAAGAAGCTGAACCCCATGTTTGGACGGAGAGAAAATGGGGGAGGAAAGAAAATGAAAGAGGAAAATGGGAGAAGAAATGAGTTTTCCTATATTTGGATGAGGGGAGAAAAGTGAGAAGAAAGAAAAGTAGGAGAAAAAATGGGATGTAGGACCCACTTTATTTTTTTTCCAACTTTTTTCTCCACATGTGGAGAGAAAATGAAAAGAAAACTCATATTCCCCATATGCCCTCATCAAATATAGTGCAATAATATCACATTCCACCTTTAATACAGGTTTTTCTTTTTAATTTTACTTACGACTACTTCATAATTCAACAAAATTATCTCATTATATTGTAACTTTATAACTTCGGGGTCTATAAGCTTGAACGCCCCAATGACAGGTTACTCATGAATTGTCTCTTCTGGAATTGCAGGGGAACAGGGTCCAAATCTTTCCCAGGACTCATTCGTGAAATCAAGAAGAGATACAACATTGAGCTGTGTGCAATCTTTGAAACCAAGGCAAGCAGTGAAAAGGCTCGACGGACTAGTAAAAAATTGGGTTTTGATTAGTGTGAGGTTGTTGACGCTATTGGCTATCGAGGTGGACTATGGGTAGTATGGAACAACAGAGATTACAACATCACTATTCTGGCAAAATCAGAGCAATTTATTCATGTAATGGAAGAAAAAAACCATGAAAAAATTTACATTACATCCATATATGCAAGCCCCAACGCCATCACAAGATGGAACTTATGGCAGCAACTCACGGAGATTTGCCCGGCAACGAAATGGCCATGGTTCATTGGAGGGGACTTTAACAGAACCCTTACAGCAAACGAACGCCGTTCTAATGCAACAAGAACAGGCATGATTGATCGGGAATTCTCGAACTGGGTGGAACAAATGGCCTTAATAGACATAGGGTGCTCAGGACCTTTCTTTACCTGGAAGAGAGAAGGATGCGAGAGCCGTATTGACCAGGTTCTAATGAATGCTCGAGCTAAAGAAAATTACTTGGATGCTGTAGTGAAGACCCTTCCCTGGTTCAAATCAGACCACAGACCTCTGCTTCTACAAATGAGAACTCTAGGACCAACCTTCACGCATCAAAGACCGTTTCGCTTCAACACGTCCTGGATTCTTCACGAGGATTTTGATAGATTTATTAAGGATACATGGGCTTGCAACTCATCCTAGAAAGACAACATAACAAACTTAACAAGTGAGATTATGAAGTGGAGTAAAAACACATACGGCCGCATTGGTAGGAAAAAGAGCCGAATAATGAGCAGACTCGAAGGAATAAACAAGGAGATTACGAGGAGAGGCTCAACGTCCTCCCTAGAACATCTCCAAAGAAGGCTGTGGCTCGAGCTTGAAGAGTTGCTAACCCAGGAAAATCTACTCTGGACCCAAAAAGCTAAATGTGACTGGTTTACACTCGGTGATAAAAACTCATGGTACTTCCATAACCGATCAAATAGCAGAAGAAGAAGAAACAAAATTAAAGCCATTAAAAGAGCAGATGGCGAATGGACAGACAACGTGGAGGAGATTAAGGAAATAGCGACAAGCTTCTTTATTAATCTTTTTCAGGACGAAGGAGGGCACGACTGTATCCACAATTTAAATACTTCCTTCCCTCCTATAGACCTATTGAGCTTGACAGCGTTGAACAGAGAAGTGAATAGGGAAGAAGTCAAGAATGCAATCTTCAGCATGGGAGCCTTGAAATCGCTTGGGCCTGATGGATATAATGCTTTGTTCTTCCAACATCAGTGGCAGGTGGTTGAGCAGTCGATAACCCAAGTGATTCGTCAAGCTTTCGAAAATCCAGATCTAATTCATCAAATCAACCATACCTTTATTGTTCTAATCCCCAAAACAAATCAACCAGAAACCATTCGAGACTTTCGACCCATTAGCCTTTGCAATGTGATATAGCTATCACAAAGGTTCTTGTAAGCAGACTCAAGAGTTCACTTCCGAACATAATTTCACCTAATCAGTGTATCTTTGTACCTGGGCGTACTAGTGCAGAAAATATAATCATTGCCCAGGAAACTATTCACTCGATGAGGAACATGAGAGGCAAGAAAGGTTACATGGCAATAAAGATTGGCCTTGAAAAAGTTTATGATCACATCCGGTGAAGCTTCATGATGAACTACCTGGAAGAGCTTCAAATCCCTCCCAAAATCAAGAATGTCATCCACTCATGCATCTCCTCCACCTCAATGCAGATACTCTAGGAAGAAAGTAAAGCAGATACCTTCACTCCCTCAAGAGGCCTCAGGCAGGGAGACCCACTGTCCCCCTACCTGTTCGTGATTTGCATGGAGAAGCTGGCCCACATAATCCAGAGCGAGATGATGGCGAGAAAGTGGAAACCTATCAAACTAAGTAAAAATGGCCCTCCCATCTCTCATTTATTTTTTGCTAATGACTTATTAATTTTTGCAGAGGCTAGCCTAGACCAGGTGGCTATAATCAATCAGTGCTTAAGAAGATTTTGTGAAGCTTTGGGACAAAAAGTAAGCCATGCGAAGACCAAGTTCTTCTTCTTAAGGAATGTGAACCATACCAGAGCAAAACAACTGAGTAAAGAATTAGGATTTACTTGCACAACAAACCTTGGGAAGTACCTGGGACTACCCCTACACCACAAGCACGTGTCAAAAGGGACATACAAATTCATCCTTGATAAAGTCAACCATAGACTTAGTAGATGGAAAATTAACCAACTTTCTCTTGCAGGAAGGAGCACCTTGGTGAGCAATTGTCAATGCCATCCCAACCTACGCCATGTAGACAAGTTATATTCCGGAGAGCACGTGTGAGGAAATTGAGAGGAAAGCAAGAAACTTCTTGTGGGGTTCAACCGATGAGAAACGCCGAATGCACCAAGTGGCGTGGGACACTGTTTGCTTAGAAAAGAAGAGAGGCAGACTTGGCATGAAGCATATAAAACAACACAACCGGGCTCTAATGATGAAGCTTGGGTGGGGATTAATAAAGGATCGAGACTCGCTTTGGGTGAGGGTAGTACGAAGTAAATATGGCTGTGGAAACGACCTCCTCCCAGATATCAAAACTCAAAGAGCAGGCTCCAACACTTGGAAGGGGATCAAGAATAACTAGAACAAGGTTAAAATAGGTCTTGAAGAGTTCCAATAGCAAAATGGAGCCAAGACGGTTCGCTGGAAATGGGAACGCAATGGAGTTTTCTCCACGAAGTCAGCCTATCAAGCACTAAGTAATGAAGACCAACACTCAACAAGGGAGTGGGAAAAGCTGTGGAAATTATGAATCCCAGAATGGTGCAAGAACTTTGCATGGCTCATGAAGCATGAAAGATTAACCACGAATGAGAGGAAATGGCGACAGGGTCTACACCAAGATGGATACTGTGGAATGTGCACTAATGTCACTGAAAGCGAGATCCACGCTCTTAGGGACTGTGTGGCTGTGAAAGGGTTCTGGGAGCAGGTGATCCACCCTAGACACCGAAATAAATTCTTCACGACACCCCTATAGAATTGGCTATCACTGAACATGCGAAGAAATATGGGAGTCAAAGAAAGTAACTGAGGCGAGCTCTTTATCATCTATTGCTGGCTGATTTGGCAGAGACGTAATGATTTTGTTCATAATGGAACCACATCAGACACGGGCAGCATCACACCGAGAGCTAAAGCCATCATAGACTGCATGATGAAAACGCGCCAAAAGCTCCATGTGGAGTACTCATACAAAAGTTGCCAATGACCTGAAAAAGTGTTATTGTTGTTTGCTAAACTAAAATTATTAATATCTATATAAGAGTTGTGAATGACTTGAAAGAGTGGCTTTATCACTTGCTAAACAAAAATTATTAATACGCATTAAAATATAGTCAATATATTCACAAAAATTGTGAATAAGTTATACTTAAAATGTAGTCTTTAACATATTCACACATATATGTAATAGTGAAGTATTGGTGGCCTAATAGTCGTTTTTAATTTTGGCACAACTACCTAGCAGTGCTGGGATCAAATTCTGCCACCAAACCTTTTTATGCAAAAACTCAAAGAGAGGTGCCCATATTTAGTACCTGACAATACCTCGAATAGGATTACGTCAAATAGAAAGATACCTGTGCCTACCCAAAAAAAAAGCTCTTTATAGACTACCAAGTCAAAAATTAAATTCTCCATATATGGTCCTTATTACAAGTACTTTTAACATGTCCTTCATATAAAATATGTTTTCCTAATCATTTTTGTAATCTTATAGTCTTAACAAATTATAAAATTTTGACTTCTAATTGTTGTGAATATAAGTGGGTGTGTTAAAAGTGAAATGCCACATTGCTGAAGAGAGAGGAGATTCAAGTGTATATAAAACTATCTCATATTTTTGAACTAGTGAATGGACCTAGAAGAGAAGAAGGATCTTGTGCAGATGACAACAGCTTGATGGAAAAGAAAAAAAACGCAGTTGAAATTGGTGATTTTCCCCCAGTGCACAAGTTAAGAAAGTACGTGCACTTTTTACACAAAAAAAAAAATCTTTTGCAAATGGGTTAATGCTTGCTAATGTCTAGAAATTCAATTTTGAGTAAATCTAAAGTTCATAACTGAAGGTTTAAATAGTGTTTATTGTGTCAACGTCTAAAACCAAAGATTTCATCGTGTTTATTGTCATAAATATGGTGTCCAGCATTCAAATGCTTTGTGGCCCTATATAAAAGGATTTGGGACAAAGTGTTTGGTATGCTGGCTCTTAACTTTTTGAGCACTCATCCTCTCCCTTGTGATTTTCTCCTCTCATTCCTTTGCTGACGAGTTACATCTATATTTTTGCTATTCTATCACCTTGTTTGTCGCAGGAGAGGCTTGTTTAATCCTGGACAGCATCTCATTCACTTTACTTATGGTGAGGAATAACTCTTAATGACAGTGTCTCTGTCACGACTCTGTCTTTGGCACAACTCCAATCAATTTACTATCTAGTTGTTTTAGCGATCTTCTAACACTAATTAAACAAATGATTCCAACTGATCACATTTGTTGAGAAGCAAACACAACATGCAACTTTTGAAGCGAGTGGGGTGACAAGCTAATTCTTCAATGCTAGCTAACAGAAAATGATACATATTCCCTTGAATGAGTTTGGCTACTCATCACTCTTGATGAGAATTCTAAACTCATCAGATCTAGGTAGTCTAGATTTGATTTAGAAAATCCAATTTTTTTTATTTTTTAAAATAATTTTTTAGTGGGTATGGAATAAAATAAATATAATCTTGCAATTATAATCTTTTCAAAAACATAATTTTTATTTAAAAATAATCAATTGAAAATATTAATTTGTACTACCCATATTGCTCAGGATATTAGGTGTCAATTTCTTTCCTTTGTGCTAAATTTGGAGCAAGGAACAGGTAAAATACTACCTTACCTCATTAAAAAAAAACTCATTACGTCATAAGATATCAATGTTGGATCTGAATCTATTGAAAATTCTACAAATAAAACGAATGCATAACTTTCTACCACTATTTAAAATCCTATTTTTAAAAAAGTAAATTTTCTTCTGTGATGTGATTTAGATTATACTAACTCCTTAATATAAGAGCTAATTGACTAATTTGAATAGTTTAAAAAAATTAATTAAGTTATTTGTAATAAATAGTTATTGTCTTTCCTAAAATATCCTTGCTAGTTATGTGTATTAGCTAGAACTAGTTAACTACCATTTGATAAAATCTTTAACATATACAATTACTACAAAACATGGATAAATATGAGACACAAAGTAAATTAGAGTCTTCTATTTAGGACCAAATTGAATGTCAAGTTAGTTCTTATATTAAGGACAGGAGGTTGTATTTAAATTATCCACTAGCCTTTTTTTTTTTTGGTTTTTCAGATTATGTATTTTTAATAACTAGTCATCCTATTTCATATCCTTTCATATCCTTCACCCCTTAGTTATGCCCAACAAAAACTCTTTCCCGTGTCATTTATCCAATCATATTTTCTTAAGGCGGCTTCATTAACAATAAGTCACATTACCATTTACATCATGATTAATGTAATATCATATGGATTTTATATTTTTCAAAATGGATATAAATTTCATATTTTATGTTGAACTTCTTGAATTTGAGAGAGAAAATAGTCACAATAATAATAAGGTTTGATCTACAATTTTTAAATATAAATAATTAATATTTTATAGAGTCACATAGAATGCAGAGAATTCTAATAAATTAAAGAAATAGTTAAAATAAATAAATTACTTGTTCATAAGGAAAAAATAATAGAGAATTCATATATATTAACATTCTACTTCATTTTATTTACAGAGTTATATAGGGCCACATAGTGATTATAGTAAAGGACCAAAAGTTTATATAATCCTTTAATATAAATAATTTTATTTTTTAGTACAGGAGCATCGCAAATTTTTGAATCACATTTGTTGTCATTTGATTATGTAAAAAGATTAAAATTTAAAGATGCTTTGTCAACATTTAATTTTTGAGTCACCATTTAAGTTTTCGAAAATATTTAAGAGGGTTAAGCTTAAGGGGAGGAAAATATAATTTTTAAATTTAAGGGACTAAACTAAATCTTATGCAAAATTACCAGAGCAAACTTATACTTTAGCCTACCTTTTCTAAATCATAAATTCTATTTTTAAGAAACGTGGCAATTAAAGATTATTTTATTTTAGAATTTACATATATTAAAATTAGAAACATATTATGGTAGAATAATAAAATAACGTGAAATCTACACTATCCAATTAACCTGCCCCGAATAATCCGTACTACGATCCTATCTGAAATTAATTAAAAAAGATGAGGTCTTATTCCATGACAAACATTTCAACCTTTTCGTTTATCATATCATTATTAACCACAACTTATAATAATATAAACAAAACAAAACCAAAGCATTTTTGTAACACCTCACATAATCATATTCATATATGCGATAAATATTTCATTTAAAAATCCATATATATTTCTAACATTTCGAATAAGTCATAATTTCAAAATATTTCTGAGATAACAACAAAAAGCTATTAAAATCTTATAGTCATGGAAAATGTAAATATAACATAGCATGTGTTTGAAGAGCATAAAAGCCTTCACGGCTTACTCTATTGGTGCCTTCTCTTGATTCCTACTAGATCCTTTGCCTGAAAATTGTTAATATAGGAGGTGAGATCAAACGTCTCAGTAACTACTGAAATTCTAACCTATACAAGCAAACCATATATGATAAACTAAAAATCTGTTTATATGTGTATATATAAATATATTAAAAATCACGGATTTGATACATTCAATTTAATTTCATTTTTTTTTCAATATATCCAAAAATAATGCAATATGCTGCCTCTCTTATATAACCGTCCACCCTTATACCGCTGACTGGAGCCATAGGCTAACACATAGTCTGATAGGACCTAATTCATTTTACTGAATTATTCTAAGCTTACTGATACTAGAGATATATCCGGCCAAAGATATAGAGCTCAAGCTTGGACTATGGCTCCCCTCCTTTGTAAATAGAGAGGTGTCACATGTCCCACAACTCCAATAAATTCCCGGCCAAAGGAAAATATGGAAGAAGAGGCCTTGACAAGTGCCATCCACTGTGCACCGAGTGATGACATACCACGTGGTAATTTATATCCATGCAATCTCCTTCTATTCTTAACCCAACAATGCATGTCATATGCAAATAATGGTACATCATAAATATATTTTCACATATATTATTAAAAATAAGATAACAATAAAATTCATATACCATTTAACAGTAATTCATGATAATTTCATAGCTATTAATAAATTTAACTATTGATCATAATTAATAGCAATAAATCTTAACAAGATCAAATAACATATCAAAACATTTATTTGAAAAATCAAAATATTATATTTTAGTATGATATAAAAATTAGTAAATCAATAATATAATCATACACAATTCATATGTACAAGAAAGAATTTTCAGAGTTACCTGGTACTCTTTAGCTTACAAATATTCACACAAAGATTACTCCAAAATTCTCAAGAATCTACAAAATTGCACATAAATATTTATTAATATAAACTCAGAACTACTCCAAAATTACTCTAAAATTCAAAGACTACCCTCTAAATCAAAATTACATAAATATATTAACTCTCCCAAATCTCGGCATTTATAAGATATAATATTATTTTGAAAAATATAATTTACATATAAGGCTATTTAAATTTAACAACTTAAGTAAATATATTTTTATTACCCAAAATCTAAATATTTTATATTAAAATTCTGAATTATTTATTATAGTCTCCTTTAAAATTTTTCCTCAAATCAAACAAAGTCTTTTTAAATTATAAACAAGTTGTAGCTTTATCTAATTTCACAAAATTCTCAATTTACAATTTTCAAGCCTTCAAAAATATATCTTTAACTTATTCAATATTTAAACCGATTAAAATCTCAATAATATATTAAATAACTCAAATAAATTATTTAACTTGAATTTAATCGGTAAAAATATTCTATATCTTCGAATAACAAATTTTGTGACTAAAATCTTAATTTAAAATTCTCAAAATAGTCATTGAGTAAATATAAACCGATTAAAATTTTTTAATAATGTATCTTTAAATGTCTACAGTCATACATTGTCAAAACTCCTTATTTACTTTAGGACCAAACAGTAAAATTTTCTCTAAACATTATAATGATACTAATAATATAAAGCTATAAATATATAGGAAATATTCATAAAGAAAATTTAACAAGAAGAAGTAGTTTTGTGTACCTAAATGATACCCAAAACTATCAGGTACACTGTAATTTAGTTTTCTCTCTCTTTTCCTCTCCGCTTCTCACTCTCTTTTCTCCTTTCGTTCTCTCTTACTCTTCCGTCTCCTCTCTCCCTCTTTTATCCTATTTTCCTTCACCATCTAACTATCCCGTCCCTCAATTTTTTCCTTCTTCAATTTAATGCCACCCCCTTATTTCTTCCGTCAATTAATACTTGCTCCCCTTGTTTTCTTTGTTCTTGAGTAACTGCCCAGCTTTTCCACCGAAGCCGGTGGAAAGCTGGGTATTGTTTTTTTTGTAATAATATAATAATATTATATTATTTTAATTAATTGATTTTGATTTTTTTAAACAGTACGTTACAATTTTAACGCTAAAACAAATTTGAATATCATATACTTTGCCGTCTTCTAGCTTTATTATCTTAAAATAATTGATATTATCAATATATGCAAATTCACCACAATTTTTTATGTTTGTAGAGTGGGTCCTTGAGGATCAATGTGTAGATTTCAACCGGTTTTTTATTTTTTAACCGCCTGGACACAATTAAACATCCGCCCCTTAATCTTTCTATCAGTTAATGAAAAAGCCCAAAGCAAAAAATTTGGGACAATTAAAAAATTACAAAAATGGAACCATTCGTTTTCCAGCCACGGAAGTTAAAGAACCTAAAGGAGGATATACGCAATCTTGGGTCTTTATCCAATTCAAAAATCAAACAAGAAAAATTCAAAGTTTATCGTAAAAAACCAAACCAAATATAGTTTTAAATTCCTAATCCAGCTCTATATATAGTCCTAGACACTTGTGAAAAAATATTCTGTTTCTTTTAGACTTCTCCAAAAGGCGACATGGAAAAAGAAGCTCAAGATGAACAAGAAACAAGAATTATTATAGAATCAGCAGCTTCAACCATGCATGGATCCTCTTCAAGACCAACCAGCACCAAGAAACCTAGACAAAGTTGAAGAGATTCTTGGATACAACTTCAAGAATAAATGTTTATTGGAAGAAGCTTTCACACATTCATCTTATTATTATACTAAAGATAATAATTACAAGGAAGCTGAAATAGAATGCTTCTCATTTGAGCGTCTAGCGCACCTGGAAGACGCTGTACTTAATTTGTTGGTCACCAAGGAGCAGTTCTTCATGTATTCAGATTTTTCTTCGGGTCAGTTGACCCGGCTCCAAGCCGCCAATGTTGACACCGAGAAGCTTGCACGTGTGGCTGTTGAGCATGGGCTACATTGTTACCTGTGCCGCAAGAAACCTCTTCTTGAAGAACGTATGAAAATTTGGGGCCGGCTCTAACTAACTGTATTTCTTTTCTTCGAATAAATAAACACATAAATAGTAAAAAAAGTTAATCTGTACAATGTGGTGGATAAATGTTCAAACAGCTCTGTGAAGAAAAAGGAATAATTAGACAACTAATTGTCCCTGGCACTCCACAACAAAATAGAGTTGCTAAAAGAAGAAACATAACTCTTCTAGACATGGTTAGGTCTATGATGGCTCAAGCAAACCTGCTAATTTTGTATTACGGCAACCTTCATACTTAACCGTGTACCCTCAAAATCAATCGCTTCCACACCCTACAAGTTATGGATGAAACGCAAACAAGATCTAAGCATCTTGAGACCTTAGGGATCAGTGGCGTATATCCATGACGGTTCCCATAAGCATGGGAAGTTGGGTCCCAGAGGAAAGAAATGTATATTTATAAGGTACTCTAAACAATCAAAAGGGTACATTTTCATAGGTGAAAATGAAGATGGAACGGTGACTGAAGTAGAATCAAGAGATACCACATTCATTGAGACTAAATTTCCTAATAGAGGAGATGTTGACCGCACTATTTCTCTTTATGAGACATAGGAACAAGACAGTGCAGAGTAAATTGACAAATCAGAATTATCTAGGTATGTCAATCTGAGTGGGAGCCAAGAAAGGTCAACACCAAGACCTGAACAAAGAAAGCAAGAAAAGCAAATAGCTCCCGTCAAAGGGAGTAACAGGGAAAGTGTTTCCAAAAGATGTTTTCAAATAGAAGGCAAATCTTTCTTAGTTACTCCAGGAGGGGATGATGAACCCCGTTCTGTACGAGAAGTCTTGTCAAGTCCTGCTAAGGAGGAATGGATGAAAATGATGGAAGAAGAAATGGACTCAATGAAAAAGAACCAAGTTTGGGTGTTAATTGATCTTCCAAAAAGGGCGTAAAATCATTGGAAACAAGTGGGTTCTTAAGATTAAAAGAAAAGTGGATGGATCAATTGACAAATACAAGGCTCGATTAGTGACAAAAGGGTACACACGACAGGAAGGCATAGATTATGAAGATACGTTCTCACCTGTTGTGCATTTCAACTCTATTAGACTTATTCTGGCAATAGTGAACAGTTTAGATCTGGAATTACATTAGATGGATGTAAAAACCGTATTCCTAAATGGTGATCTGGATAAAAAAATCTATATGGATCAACCATTAAGTTTCATTGAAAAAGGAGACGAGAATAAAGTTTGTAAGCTTAAAAGGTCCATTTATGGATTGAAACAATAATCCAGACAATGGTATTTGAGGTTTCACAAAGCAATAATCTCATATAACTTCCAAATGATATAGGAAGACCACTGCGTCTACATTAAGCGGTTTGAGAGTAATTTTGTCATATTATCCTTATATGTAGATAATATTCTATTGGCCAGAAATAGTCTAGATTTAGTGGTGGCTATTAAAGAATGACTTTCGTCAAATTTTGAGATGCAAGATATGGGTGAAGCAGAATATATACTTGGAGTTAAGATCCAAAGAAATTGCTCAAAACGAATCCTCTTTCTTTCACAAGAAAATTACATCAACAAGATTCTTGAGCCATTTAACATGAAAGATTGCAATCCCATGAGTACCCCCAGTTGCTACTGGAGTGGCCTTGAATCCTGACATGTGTCCCAAAATTGAGTCTGACAAAAAGAAGATGGGAAGAGTTCCTTATGCCAGTACTGTTGATAGTCTGATGTACGCAATGATGTGTACAAGACCAGATATCTGTTATGCAGTGGGACTGGTAAGCAGATTCTAGTCTAATCCCAGTGAAAAGCATTGGAAAGTAGTAAAGAGGATCTTGAGATACTTAAAGGGAACTTCCAATTATGCACTGTGCTACGGAGGAGGTGATTTGTGCCTTGTTGGGTACTCCGATGCTGATGTAGGCGGAGATGAAGAAGAATGAAGGTCTATTTCAGGTTATACCTTCTTGCTCGATAATGGCGCCATATGTTGGAGTAGCAAGAAGCAAACGTGCATTGCCTTACATTCAATGGAAGCTAAGTTTGTGGCATGCACCGTGACAATGCAAGAGGCTTTATGGCTGAAGAGTTTTATAGAACACCTTGGACTTGGAAACGAGAGTACCAACTTGGTGTTAATGCATTGTGACAATACTGCAGCCATCACCTATACGAAAGATCCCAAGTATCACAGCAAGACCAAGCATATTGATATCAAATATAATTTTGTCAGAGATTATATAGCACAAAAAATTGTTACTGTACAATACATTTCAACCAAATGTATGGTAACAGATCTCCTGACAAAGTCAATAGGCGAAAAAGTTTTTAAAGAACATGTGCAAGCCCTTAGCATGCATAAAGTGTAATATGTAAATCTCATTAATGAAATTATATCTTTCTATCATCACTTTATGCGTGTGTCTGGAAGTATACAATGTCTAGTACATCATACAGGTTAAAAAGGTTAGCTCTCTTACACGGGCAACCACCTTTGACATTCAAATGGAGTGAGCAAAGATGAGACATTTGTGTTCACCAGTAAAGCAGCAAAGAATACTGATATGGTAGGGAAGAAACACAAACTATATGTTACTTTGACTAAAGTGTAACAAGTCAAGATGAGATCCACATAAATAAAATTGGATCGAAGCTTGGAATCCCACTTCCATAATACCTGTAGCCAAATAACAAAATCATCAATGTCGACATCGTAGATATGAGCAAAGTTGAGGAATTTGGGTTTAGATACTGAGTGTATCTGGACTTAAGTCTGTACAGTGTTAATAATAAACGACATGCGCTCTTATGGTGAAAGAGTAACACTGTAGCATGTGTTTTATACCACATGTGCTGGAAGAACCGCAAAAGGGAAGCAAGTAAATGATTCCTGCTTCTTTGCTGTGTGAGTGGTTGACTTGTGCTGGTCCTATAAACAGGATTTCTAGTACAGGCACCCTACTAGATGTCATGCCCAGGCAGTCACGCCAAAGTACTACGTGTGAAATTAACGTGAGAAAAAGAGACTAGACCCACGATATCTAATCCACCGAGTGTGAGTGGGAGATGTAAGAAAAGGGGCCAGTCCACTCTTGGTGGATTGGACCCAAACCAATTAACTTTGGGGTTCTAATGTAAATAACAAAATATTCGAGTGTAGAACTGCAATGTACCCCTTTTTATTTTAAAATGGTTAAATAACAGTGGGAATCAATTCAAAATGGAGGCAGTTTTTTGGTTTCAACGTGGACTTAAGAAACCAACCGAAGGGATCAGTTTCTAAATACAATTTTTTGGTCCTTGTGTCTCCTCCCTCTAGTTCTCTCTCTTTCTTCCTCCTGAGTGCATCTGCTGTGTATCTAGATCCGAGTTCGAAGCAGTAACTGGACCTCTGCGTGGCTATCTGAGATGAGATTATCTTATACTTCAGCTATGCCCAAAAACCTTTATTGTTATATGGAAGCATGGATTCAGATGGGTTTAGGCCCATTCTATGAATTAGCACTTCTTCATCCTTACTTGTCCACTTCAGCCATTGTTAACATTTTTACCAGAAAAGCAAATCCTCTCACCAGTTGTCCTGGGCTTTTATTAAGAAGTATACATATATAGTTAAGTACAATATTTGGGTTTCTTGGTCAAAAAAGTACAATATTTGCCAAATATTATTTGGTTTTCAAAAATATGATTCTATGTGTCTGAAAAACAGAAGAAAAGAAGCTGATTTTTCCACAATGATAGGAAGACTTAGAAGAGCCGCCCCAATGCTCTTACCCTTCAAAAGACAGTACAAATCTCTTATAAACTAATGCAGCATTAGAAGAATCCTCTGGCAGCCGAAATAGCCTCCTTTCTAATAAAAGATTGAAAATTCCTCCACAATAAGAGGCTTCAAGAACGGAAATGGCAGATTTTTTCACTACGAGGCGTCCAAATCCAGATGGGCTTTCTCCAAATACATTAAAGGAACAAATGAGAAAGTTTGGCGAAAGAGAGAGATCAAATCATTGCCTTTCGTAGTCATATATTGTCAGAAGCTTCCAATTACATTGAAAAGGGTAGGGTTGTTGCCGTAAAATTGTGTCGACACTTTGAAGTGCTACTTTTTTGTTTACTTACTGTGATCTAAGACTGAGATATCGGTAAATTGAAAAAAGGTTGGGCAATATGCTAGAGACTTTTAGACTGCATTTTTCATTGTTGGGATGAAAGAAACAAAAATGCAGAAAAACAATATTGACTCAAGCATAGAAAACTTCCAAGATCTAACGGGCATTCAAGGATACAAAATGTGACTGAATTCTCCCCATATAGAAAATATTTGGTATTGGTGTTCAAAGAACCAAAATAAAAGACATATTCTTACTAAAATGAGCAACAAAGAATACAAGACTGCAGTAAGATTTAAGTAGAAAATGACGGTATTAGAAAATAAAATACTCACAGAAAGCCACCAGTGAAAATAATAAAGCCAATAACCTTAGAATTTAGCTTATTTAAAGCCAATGACCATTACTGCAAGATCTACAAATCTTCTAGACTTACTACCAAATAAAAGCACAAAATGATTTTTAATGGATAAGATTAAGCATAGCAAAGATCTTATATATGCAAAGCCAGAGCAAGTGAGGAGAAATTTAATAACTAAGCCTAGGACAGCCCAGCATTGGAATACTTCCAGACCAAGTGTCTGTTTTTTTTTTTTTTTTAAGAAGCAAAATGTAAGATCTCGAAGCTGATGTGCAGCATATATAAAATCTCATTGTGAAAATGAAGATACTGAGAATGCAGAGCATCGTATAGAAGCCGTCACAGGTTGCATGGCATCAATTACGTGGCTTTGAAGTTAGCATGAAACCAGCAAAGAAACTGAACTTGCTTTGTCGTTTAATCTCGTTATAATGTCAACCAAGATTGAAAGTAAATCAGCAAAGAAACTAAATCAAAAACAAAAGTGTTAAAAGGCTTCAAACAGACACGCAGAGATGCCTATCACGGCAGCCTGACCTTATTGCCGCCAAGGA